GCAAACAACATAAATTCAGATGTGATCATCATGAACGCAGTAAAAAAAAGATTATTCACGCTTTGTTGATTTCAGATAAAATAACGAGAGAGTTCATGTTTAAATACTTCATTCATTTGTATGTTACATTGTGTTTGCTTTGTCATCGCGTCTCATCGTACGAGTACGCGTGAATAGCACCGATGGATGAATCATTGGACACATTTTGGGCCATAATTCATGAAAAGTGCTAAGACAAACAAATGGTACGAATAAAGGCAAGAAATATACAATATAATATAAGTACAACATTTGAATATCCATGGCAAATGTCGGCACTTTCAATCGAATTAGTCCAATGATAATCGTTGGAGCATCGAAAAATAGGTAGAGACAAGAAATACTAAGTAGTTGAATGATCATACGACGATGTTGCCGCCAGTTGATCCGTTGTTGCACACGTCGCTTTTGTGCTACAACACGGATAATCAACCATAGACTAAGAAGAGCGATAGAACACGTTGGAATAACACCAAATGCCAGCTAGTTAAAGAATACTAATTGATCATTATACACATAACAACACCAACCACAAAAAAGGAACGATTGATAAAAAGTATTTGTACATGGATAAAAGAAAATAAGAATTAGATAGTAGATCCAAGGAATACCTAAGGAGGTAAATAATGGTATATGATGAAAAAGAATCTTATTACGAATTGTACCAATGAGATGAGAGTAAAAGATCAATAAATGACGCTCGAGTGAAGCCCAAGCCATTACCCATATACCAGCAGCATAGTTAGATAGCGCAAAAAAATTCCACATCAAACAGAAAGTCGATGATGGTGCTCGACCTATTCGCAAATATTCCAGTGTCATTGGTAGATCAGAAATAATTTGAAAGAAGCTCACAATAATTAGAGCAATGATTGTATGATTATGCAGAGCGCGACGAAGTGTTGGTTTCGTAATTAAATGAATCAAGAGAAAGAGTGAGCAGTAAATCGATATCAATTGAAGAATGAGTAAGATACTGAATTTAATTGTACGTGAGATCGGTGTTTCCAATGAAGGAATATCGTAGAAGATATCAATAATGTCGAATGAATTATTGTACGATGCCATGACTTCGAACTTAGGAATATGTGAGAGAAAGTCAAAATAATTGCTTCTATCGTTACTACGTCGATACAAAGACCAAATGCAAATGACTACTGTGAGAAAAAAAAGAAAGCGGATTACGAGCGATGCGATCTGTCATTGTAATAATTAATCAAACTGTGTTTTTTCTGAAAAAAAAATGATACTATCTTCTCTTTTATCTTTCGAAGCAACACATATATTTCTAAAGACTCTTCATGGATATTTAAGTGATCTCATGGTGAAGAGGTAATAAATTCAATATGAAATGAAATTGTCATTTGCAGACATAATAATGCAGTTACTAAACATCTATTGAAGTGTGCCATTTACTTTACAGAGAATTGAAGATAAGAGATGAACTGTTTCTCACCAAAAATCTTCTAGTTTACTACAATATAAATAAAAACATAAATTGTGATTTTATAGAAAATCAAAGATCTTTTATAGTAGTTTCAACGTTGTTTCAACTAGACATCCGTCTTACTCAATCATTATACCGGATGTTTCAAAATATTGGCAACATCATTTATTTTGCCACTGTCTCTACCTAGACTAATGAGACAATATGAATTCTTTCGCCAAAAGATATGTCTTGAAAAGCTACATGAACAAATTTCTATCGACTTACTAAGACGACATGCCTACGTAGTAGTCATGAGGTGTTTTGAAAACATCAGATCAAATTATCTAACATATCTATCTATCTCCCGTTTTTTTCATTATCCTTTCATTCTACTTTTCTTGCTCGTCTTTTCTATGTTTAGCTATTTGCTAAACATACTAACGGGCGCGACTCTCGTTGAATTTGTCTCTGGGTGCAACATAAAAGCGTGTTTACAATGAAGAAAGAAAAAGAAAACTATTAAACATGTTTCAAACACTTCTATTTGAGAGTGAAGTGGAGAATGAGAGTAAAGAAGAAACATCTACCCGCTCTCGTCCTGAATTTGTTGCAAATAGATCTCTAGCTCATACAGTGAAGATTAAATTATTAACAATTTTCGTAAAAACGTTATGATCATTTTAAATTTATGGTTTCTAGAAAAGATTTACTTTTAATTGATATATAATACTACATCCTAAACTTATTTTGAGGGAACATATATGATAAAGTTTATAGGAATGCATTACAGATTTATTCTTTGGAGATTAGTTTTTCTAATCAACACCAAAATCATCAAATATTGAAACTATATCAAAACCATTACTCCGAGACTAAAACCATAATAAAATCAATACTCAAACCATAGAGTTTTATTTTTGTTGTATACCTAGTAGCGACTATTCTTTGAACTTACTTCACGATAGCAATAGAGACTGACATGTCTTTAAAAGGTGTGTCATAGTTTGACTAAAAGGAAAAATGTCGAAAATGTAAAATATTGAAAAAAAACAATGTCTCTAATAAACGCAATGGCGTTCATTAAATTTTTTCAAGAGGAAAAGAGTCCATTTTTCTCATATGTATACTCAATATAATGTAGGTTTAAGTGCGAGCGTGAAATAAGCTAAATTTTGTGCTATTCAAGTTGCTATAGATAATCTTGGTGAACGATACTATGACAGTCTTATTAAGGCCGTCCCTTCCCCTCGAAAATCGATTTTCGTTATAGTACATGGAAATTTCACGAAACTTTATAAGAATGTTCGGCTCATAGTTGTACATATATAGAAAAATTTTCAGGGCTCTAAACCTTACCATTTGAAAGATTTCGAACAATCAATGGACAAAGTAGGACTTTCATGAGAACAAGGAATTTTTCAATACACTTCAAGCTACAGCGCCTGGAATGATCTCACTTGGAAGAGAACTCCTTGCTGCTTCGGATGAGGAAAAGGATTTTTTTTTAATTTTTATTTTATTTCATTTTTACAAATCTCGAAACCTTAAATTTCTAAAACCTCTAGCCAAGCTTTTCTAGAAAACCTTTGGTTTTTTCAATATTAAGGGTCGAATACAAATTCCATTTCTCTCATTCGAAAGAGGATTCATCAATCTATCGAATAAAAACAACCACAGTTCGATGGAACGAACTATAGTGAAAAACAATTTGTTCGGAGTTTCTCAGTTTTGAGAAAAACGCGCGAATATATTTTTTTTCTTTGAATATTTTGTTGAATCATCTTCACACATCAGAGAGAAACGTAGTTATATCGTATATCAATTAAAAAGGCCATCAGATGTCTCATCGAGTAGACGTACAACAGTACGGCGTGTCATTGTTTGTCATTATGGACGATAAAAACAAGTGGGCCTTAAGTTCTCTATAGTCTTAAGTACCATATTTTTTTGCTGGAAAGCTCTAGAAGTTTATCGATTATTCTAAAGAAACCTTTCGAAATTAGAGATGACTTTCATGAATTTTAAAACTAGGCACCTTAGAGGTAACACCCATATGTTTATCTTGAAAATTGAACTTTTTTAAAAAAAATCGATTTTTGGAGGGAAGAGTGGTCTTAATATGAAACTAAAGACCCTGACATCATTCACTTAATCTACCCTCGAGTAAATAGTATTCAGATTTCGTTTGTAAATTGTTACATGACAATTTATCAATTATTCTTATCCACCAGTTCAGCAGAATACTATTTATGAATGATTAAAAGTTATTCATCACATCAAAAATTTGGGTTTATTCTATTCTAGTTCGAATGGGATGTGGATTGTCGTTTCAGAAACAGCAATATTAACACCTGTCGCACACTGTATATTATATATTCACGCTGCAACTCGATAAAGATAAGCTAATGCATTTTAGGGAAAATTTATATGAACGATAATTCTTTGATCGTCATTCACGATACGTATATATCGACTATGTTGGACAGATATTATTAAATTCCTATGTAGAAGCATCTGAATCTCAGTTTTCTATCGATCTATGAGTTCGTTGATTTGCATCGGTATGATTTGTAGTAATAAATTTGATAGATTCATTCTCAGACGTCATTTCTCTTCGGTTTTCTCTGTCCTATTAGATTCATTTATGTTTAGGATCAAATTCTTTTGATTTTGTCATTGACTATCGCTTGTTCTTTGCTAATCATCGATCGTGAAATGTTCACCATTCACCAATACACAACATAATTACATTTGCAATTTCAAACAAAACATTAAGGATTGACTCATACAACATCTCCATCGAATGAATTCATTGTCATCTGTGTATTGATGTCGTATAGTGAGAGAATATAAAGTAGTTTATTTAGAGTAATAAAGAAAAGATAATGAGAAATTTTCGTTAGTATTTTCTTAACATTAGTGTCATGTCTCGTCTTTTAAATATTAGAAAACAGAAACATAATATATTCAAAATACAAAGTTATCTTGATTAGAAAATTAGATGTGTTTTTGATTCAATATACAGTGGTTTGCAAAAAAAATCTTGGCCAAAAACTGATTATGGTGTCAGACACCTTACACGCTCATCTTTAGACTTTTTGAAGCGATTCTATAAAAACAATTACTAACGTATGTTCTGGATAACGTTTCTCCTATCTATATCTTCGATGAAGACTGTGCCTTTTAGTTCATTGTAAAATTAAGGAAGGTGCTTAAAACTGGCGTTCACCATGAGAAAAGCTCATTGAACATCATTTCAGTAAGTATGGATTTAGATAATCGGAAAAAACCAAAAAATAAAGTCTTGAAAAAGTGTAATTGTTTTTTTTGGCTTCCAATTTTTATAATTCTGTTCTGCATTTTCCCTGTGAAGATGGATGGAAAACAATATTAAAAAATATCACTGTGTAGTACTTTTTGTGGACTATCGAACTATACTAAAACTAACAAAAAAGAACGTTGTCTGTCAGAGCAGTAGTGAAAATAAAGTGGTCAAGTTTTTTTGCAAACCACTGTATATATCAAATTTCGATTAACATATTTTGAATGATGATGTAATATCATTAAAGTTGCAATCTTCGAAATTCAAACGGCAATTTACATCAGGTGTAACTTTCATTGAGCGTCCTTGACAATTTTCATGTTCAAATAAAACAAAGCATCTTCCATGTGTGTTTATTGATGAACCACGATCCTTCATCCAATCTAACAAATTGAAACATTTATAATCATTATTACTAACTGGGCGACCTAGATATACATGATATTCGAAAATAAGATCACAGTTATAAATATATATATATACTTACTGACGAGCATCACTCCACCATAATTTCGGTGTTGATAAAGCGTAATCCAACCTGATGATGATAAATCAATACATGACAATACTATAATTACGAGAAATGATAGGATAACACCATTGGAAGCCATTGTTTCTACAATGAATTATACGTATTCGTAATATTATGCGTATAATATTAATCTGTTTCTTATTTTCAATAATATTATGCTTTGCTATCCATATATATATACGAAAGAGAACGTAGGAATTTTCCACAAATTATTGTATAATGCCACATGAGAATTTCCCCAGTGGCATTATATATCATCGATGAAATGTTAAGTATGATGTTTCTGTTGAAATTCGTACGTGGTACAATACTATCAATTGTGGGAAATTTCTTATTCTATCTTATTATCATCTCATGTACGAATGAAAAGCACGACCTGAGTATCATTGTATGTAGAAAAGAAAAATGGCTATAAGTCGAGTTAACTGATTTTCATGAACTTTTTTTGTGTTTCACTGGTGTAAAAATAATCGCTCACGTCTGAAAATAATCAAGTTTCTATCTATTTTAATTTTTGATAAATAATAATAAGACGTCAAATATGAACATCCGAACGTCGCTTATCTGAAGTTAACCAATGTATCGTTTTATTTCATTGAATTTTTTGAAATTGTTTCTTCAATTAAAATTAAAGAACTTTTCAAGATTGATTCAATATGAGAGAAAAATGAAGGAAAAATAATATGAAAAGGAAAAGATGATTCTTTCATAAACTTCCATGCAAAATTAAAAATAATGAATTTCAAACTGGTTTTAAGGCAAAATTTTTCTTAAATAATCTTGTTAAATAATATCTCAAAATATTCATGCGACAACATTTTGTGTGTTCAAGATAAAAATCAGCTTTGCAAACAAATTGTAGAGATATTTTTTTTTAAGTATTTATACAATAAAACTGATGGGTATGTGGAAATAGTATACAGAAATCGGCTCCAATACAGAGACGTGTTGGGAAAATTAGTATTTTATATATATATTCAGCATCATACTATCAAATGCAACACTTAGTTTTCTTAGATTGTTAAAATCATTTTTTTGTTTTTTTTTGCATGAACGATACACCCTGAACATAATCCACACTCATATACGCAATGAATAGTCCAAAATGAATTACACCCTAAGTATTTATAGTTTTACTCCTGTTCTCTAGACATGATCCAATTTTCGTACTACAAGATTCACCGTTGATACACTCATTTGAATCGATTTGATAGATTATATTCTTATTCTTGTTATTTCTAATTCTAATAGTGATGTTTCGATCACACTATTGTCTTCGTCAGACACTGAACAACATGAAATAACGTATGGTTTTTTTCTTTAGAGCCTTAATAAGATAAATAAGAAAGGAAAATTTTGATTCGAAAGATACGATTAGTTATTTTACATTATTTAGTATCTGATAAAGACAATGACATTGTCGAAATATCATTAGATATAAATGTTGGATGCAGGTGAATATCGCTGTGTGATGCTGCTTACAATTCTTAGTTTACTTACAAGGTAAAAATATCCACATACACAACCTAAACTTAAATCCTACTTACAATCCATACGCATTCACATTTATGCTCACTCTAAATATTCACTAATTCATCAATCGAATTAGTTCATAAAAATAATGGAGTAAACTTTTTTCTTTGATATTTTTGTGTGGTTCGATAGAGTTTGTCGAGCTCTACTAATATGTTTTGTATAAAATTTGTATTTTTTCCAATACTGCAGAGAGCAATTATCAAATCATCGAGAGGATGAGACGGTATCCAAGAAAAAAATTACTATTCGTCGTGCATTCATTGTATCAATGTCTGAAATCATCGACACCAAAATTTTCACATCTAATTATCTTTCTTAGTCGATACCCACTTTTAACCAGTATACCATATTCTGATTAAAAAAAAAAGAATAGCCACAAACACAACTGTCTAAAAAGTTTTCTTCGATTATTGTTTTGAAAAATGATTCTTCATATGTCTCTTTTACACAATAATTTTGATGGTTTTTCAATCAAAAAAAAAACAATTTTTAGCAGTTTTCATCACCATAGTACAATTATAAAGCAAAATAAACATGAGAAAGTGCGTGTAATGAGGAATGAAATAATGAATGAAGTGTGATAACTAATATCAAATGGATAATAATACGCAAAAATGAAAGAGAACTACAACGAATATAGAAAATTTGAGAACGCAGCAAATCATATAACAAATGCACACATAACAAGAGAGAACATAGATGATGGCTCATACCGTTACAAGAGCATGAGTATAGAAGAAGAGAAGACGAAGAAGCACATGAATACAAAACAGACAATATACGAATAACTACGCGTAATATTTACAAGAAGAGTTTTTACACTTTTGATAGCTGTCAAAAGGCACAGACCAAGATGAAAAGTATATTTAAGAAGAATAAAAGAAGTGATGATATGATCTAACTGAAGTTGAAGATCATAACATACCTACAGTATATACCCAGGGTTATAATCCACGATCGTACTTTTGTCGTGTTCAATAGTAAGTATGATTTTTTTTAATTATTTGATGTTCACCTGAACGATACAATGAACAGTAAGTATTGTTTTAAATGGAATAATTTTTTTTTAAACTTATAAATAAGAAAAGATTATTTCATTTAAAACAACAGTTACTGTTCGTTGTATCGTTGGGTGTGGATATGAGTGTTTCGTTTAATCGAACTCACATCCATACACCCACACTCTCTCCTAGTGAATTGACTATAGTTTCGTTTCTCATAGCATATGGGTACTGTTCTTTTAATGTGGTTTATTTAGATTTTAGTTGGTTATTACTGTGTAAGTATTTGTTTGATTGAATGAATTTATGACGGAAACTATTACATAGACACGCATAGTATTGTGCTCAACGATATTAATGCAAGTATAAATATCCACATTCAGAGACTGCTTTGTTCACACGTCGAATAGTAGTTTTGTTGATATAATACCGAAACAGTTAAATATTCAGTCGAGGGTCAAATGAGTCACGCAGATGAGCGTTACTTGTTAGTTTTCATGCGAGGTTTAGAAAAGAAAAAGTTATGTGTATCATAGTTATTTTCTGGAATATCCAAAAGTCTTATACTCCTCAAGACTATTTAGTCGTTGAAAGATTTTCTTTTTTTATTTACGATGAACACAAAACAAAATAAATATACAAAAATGTGCAGAATTACATACTCTATATTTTTAGCTTATTCAAAATGAAACATAGAAGATGGTAAATTTCAGATCTTATCCGATAGAGTCTTTCATTTTCAAATTTCAGATTCATGTTTTTCATTTTCATTATTCGACGTAGTATTTTTCCGATGATTTATTTCTTGATTGAATTCTATACTAAGAGAATTAGATGAAGAAGATCGGCGGTTAATGTTTGAATTTTCTACAGTTTCGTATTGAAACGGATGATCTTTGAACAATGAATGTATTCTACTTGATAGTCGGGATAAACTACTTGATGCAGATGATGATCGTTGACTTCGCGCAAATGAAGCTGTAAACATAATCGTATGCAAAATTTCACAATGAATTATATCCATGTATTCAGTTCAAATAAAACATTAGTATAGGAATACTTACTTATATTTGTATATCGATGAAACGCAGATACTCGACTTTTCTTTGAACTTTTGTTCGTCTTTACATAGAGTGATTTTGAATCAAGTTCTTTTCCATTCATATCATCTATAGCTTCGTTAGTTGTACTAGAATTTACAAATCCATAATCTTGTGATTGATCTTTTATCGTTGTAACCTATGATAAAAATGGATTAGTTCTTCTCAAATTATATTTCATTATTTACCGTTGCACTTCTGATTTTACCATTTGTAGTAAATGTTTCATTTAATTTTCGATCATCAATATTTCCATTCATATAACTCATGGAGATATTTCGATCTGCATATGATTTAATATATGTTTCTCTTTGTTTTTTATGATGATTTTGTTTGTTAGGCAAAAAACAAACATATAAATTTTTTCCATTATCTAATTTTAAATTGTTAAGATTTGCAACAGCCTATTATATGAATAAAGTTTAAAATTTTAGAAGATATAATCAAAAGAAAGAATATTTACATTTTCCGCCATAGATGACTGCAAAAAACTAACGAAACCAAATCCCTTTGAACGATTGTATTGATCTCTGGCAATCTTAATTTAAATAAGGAAAAAAAAAATCAATGATATAATAAGCTTTCATCTCATTGTTTACTTACTTTATAATCGGTAACCGTACCGTATGTAGAGAAGAGTTTACATAATTTTTCTTCGTCCATTTCACTATCAAAGTTTTTAACATATAAATTTGTTTTTCGTTCAGGTCTTCTATTTCTATATATAGTATTGCGTTCTCCATCTGAATCGGATTCATTGTAATTGTTTAGCATGACTTCTCATACAAGAATCAAATCAACTAAAAAAATAGATCTGAATAAGTTAGTATGGACAAAGAACTAGTATTCACAAATTTCAAGAGGTAACGAAAATTATTATGTTAACATCTAATCTGAGTCTATGAATTTGCAATACATTTTTAGGCTAATGTGTATTTTTCGTGGAGAGGGAAAAATCCCTGATTAGCGTAAAAGTCTTTAAGGTTGTTTCTTTGAAACAAAAATCTCAGTACAGTATTAAAATGTGCGATTGTTACATGTGTAACATAACTGCGATCGTACTGTTACTGGCATTTGTGAAAACTGTGATGTGGTTACGATAAACAAATTGTACTCTTTAGTAACTATGTCGAAGTGATCTTCGGCATGTTCTCTACTGATGATCAGGTGTCATATTATCAAATGAGCTTTAATTGTTGTAATCAGCTCTAAAGAAAAGAAAAACAGAACATTTATTTTTACTAATTTAATCGTATACTAAGGAGAGTAATGACTTTTTATTTGACATCAAAAGTTTGATCTCAAAAACAATTTTACAATGAAGCAAGTGAACATTCTAAATCTGTCTAGAGAAAAGACAGTTATCATGCAAGTTATGAATGAAAAGATTATATTTTATCATCTTAAGAATATGACGCGATATAGGACGGTCAAAAAACGCACTCATATTGAAACGGCTGATTGGTAATAGGATAAATACCTCGACAGCTTATCAATGAATTAAAAGATGTTTACTAGATTTCAACAGAATAAACTGACGAATACTTGAAATAAATTAAATTTTAATAGAAAAATGTAGCGAATTCTACATATTCTCCTAAATTAAACTAAATTTCAATTAAGATTGAACATAACTTAATTTAAATCTATAGAACCAATTATTTATTCTTGTTTTTTAACTTTTTCTTAACTCACGCCGCATTTCTCTCTGTCATGATGACGACAAATAAAAAGATATGCGAGCACACACAGGACATCACATCTGGTGTGGATGCCGGGAAAGACCGACACATGCGAAAGCGCGCATGCAAATAGACAGCTCAAAGCTAAAATCTTAGTTGAATTCATGTTTCAACTTTTACACTATTGAAGAAAAGCTGACTAATCACTAAAATCCATGAACAAACTTGATTACTTGATTCGATACAATCACTGATCAATACGTTTTGAGTAAAAACGAACAGACGAATAATGTTAGAGGAAGATTCAAACAATTAACTCAAGCGTATTCGTGTGTTCGTGAAAAATCTTGAAGTTTACCTTCGTAGTTTGAAAAAAAAATGAAGCGTCTTGCAGGCTGTTAAAAAATAAAATGTGAGAACACATATTTGTTATGTCTTCTTCTATATCTCAAGGCTGCAGCATGGCTTGTAATGACTACGTCATAGATAAGAACGCAGTTGTGTCGGAGTGAAAGTAACTACTCTGATTCGCTTCAACTACGGTACGAAATAGATATTACACCTAAATGTGACGCAGTCGTTAAAAAACAGGTAACATGGGATAAATTGGGGTGAATGCGGATGTGGGTAAGGGTGTATATATTCATATCCGCGCAACACCACTCATACTCACACTCTGGAAATATATGTGGATGTGAGTGTATGGCTGTGGACACAAAAGTATCTTCCATTCAAGTCCCACGCCCACATATCCACACGCTCATGCAGAAGTACAAAGAAACAAATTTTGTTCAGAGCTTGAATGACCATGACTAAAAGAGTAGAACAACAACAACATCGATGGGCCGTCTAATCGAACGCAAAACTAAGTGTAACCGAAGAAAACCAACGAGTATGACAAAGATCAAACTCGAACAATATATGTATGTATCGATTTTTGAAAGAAAAATCGAACGGTAAGTAAATGAATATAGATTATTTTTTCGAATTATTTTTCTCGATCGGGCGTTAACAACTGACTTCTTCTTGATTGAATCATAGGTGTATATATTACTACACAAATATTCTTGACTCAAAAATTCAATTCTATCTATAAAACAATTTTATCCTAGACGCAAATTCACGTTATAAGATTTCGATGTGAGTGTGAATGATATTACACATCCATACCCACACACCATAACTCTTTGTATGTTTCATCACTTTCATTAGAAAACAAATGTGCTGAGATATTATATTATGAAAGAAGTATACATGAGAGATATTCTTTTTTTTTTTTTTGACATGATAAATATTAACAAAAATGAATATAAATTACATAGTTAACTTATAAATAGTTCATGAACATAAACATCAAATTGTGGATGAGAAAAATAAAGTAGAATCGTGTCCTAAAACACAAAAATATATAATTTATGAATAGAATACACATTGTTTTTTGTTAAATAGGATTGAAAATGAGTGTCAAAAATGTAGAACAAGAAAGGTGAATTGAATTTTAGAAAAGTTCGAGTGTGTTTTTTTTTATCGATTTGACAACACTTGAATGTAATGTTTTCTAAACTGTCTAGAGAATGTGTTGAAAGGCTTTTTTTTTGTATAAATAATTTTCAAAAATCGAAATAAAAAAAGATCACATACACGATATATCCGACACTGTATGATATCGTTTAGGCATTTCAATATCATCACCGCCGATCTTTTTTATTCCATTCATTAAACATTCCAAATATTCGAACATATTTATTTGCTAGAAAGAAAAAAGAAATTTCAAAACATAGAATATAATCATGAAATATTATCACTTGATTTTGTATTAATTGTACTTGATTTTCTAGTTTTTTGACTTTATTTAACATAATCTCTTGTGGTGAATATCTAATAAAAAATAAAAATAAATTATAATTGCAAATATATCTCAAAGTATGTTATTTACACTCGATCTTCATCAAAATCAATGTCATAATCGACCATTTTACGATCAGTTTTCAAAAAATAATAATAAATTTCATTACCAAGTGCATCTTCAATTGATTCAATTTTTCTTGTTAATTCATAATTAGCAACAATATCTATAAAAATAAAAGAAATTAATTGAATTCTATCGATTTTTCTCTATAACTTACGAAGTTTCGATCGATTTTGATGTTTACGATATTTCCTACGAAACCATGGTAATTTAATATAAGTCGAAAGAAAATAAACTATTAAACGCCAAAAATGTATTATAATAACCAATGGTGCTGGTAAAGATGGTCTTGATAAATAATAAGATACTAATGAATAATATTGAAATTTCCAAATACAATCAGCATCCATATGTAAACGATCAAATGTATTACTTTAAAGAAAATATAATTCAATAGATTCAAAAATGCAATTGAAATATAATTTATCAAAAAACAAAGAACAAGATTTTGATTTTATCTAGAGTGACTGAGTGAACAAAAAAAAAACATTCTAAATAAATTATCCATGATAGTTGAATAGATTCACATTCTAAACATTTGAGAATTATACCTGAACATTGCTATAAGTAGACTGATAAGAAGAACACTTGCAACAGTCATATAAGCAATAAGTAAAATAAACATAACATAACCACTAATTTCATAATTTTCTTCGAAAATAAAAAGAAGATATACGAATGTATTGTTTTTTTTTTAACAAAGATTTACTCTCAATTTCATCAAGTGCTTCTAATTCGCCAAATATTTGCCAGTAAGCAAGATTTATAATAGCACGTGGTAGATGCCAAGTAAATTTTTCAACACCATATACAAGACTATAGGTAGGCACACCAAATGCCAAAACAAAGACGGTCAACATTAACATAAAAAATTTGAGATCATGTATCTTAATTGAAAACAAGAGAATATTCCAAAGATGCGAACTCATGTGATAAAAATCGAAAGAAAACCGGCGGTTTTATCGGTCCTGTTACTGACTCCCATCGCTACAATTTACCCCGGTAAACCACCAGTTTTGATAAATATCGCGGTTGACCGCTAAAAACTGTCCGGTATTTATGATATGGGAAATTAACCGTAAAAATAAAAAAATTTTATCAGCTCGGAAAATGATGTAGATTTTACTGATTATCAATAGATTTTATAAATCTTGGAATTTGTGTTTTTTTCAAATGCTCTAGTACAACTGATTCAGACGATATAAACTTTGATGTTTAATATTGCTTATTCTTCTCATAAAACAGCTAAAAAGAAAAAAGAAAAGAAGATCACTCTCAATGAATAGTTAAAAGTAGAAAATAAGCAAACGAGAGAGAGATGCTGCTGCTACTGCTTAGTGATTTTTCTCTGCAGGTGAGATTTTTTTTTTCGTAGTTTCAATATATTACCATTTCACCGATCATAACTAATTTAGGACCAAGACGTTTGATAGCTGCAAACATATCAAGTGTACGTATATACCAAAGTGATAAATCAACTGCAAGAACGATACGTGCAGCACAAAAACATCGTGTTGTTGGCCAAATTCGAAGTATAAATCCAATAAAAAAGAGAGATAAAGCTAAGAAATCTAATTTATTCCAGAATACTGAAGAATATGCTAGAATTTTGCTATAAATTGATTTTAATTCAATTTCAAAAATCTTTAAAATAGATAGAACATTTATTATTCAAATGAAAATCAATTATTATTATTACTTGTCGTATTTCATCGCAGAATAAAGCAAAAATCCATACAATTAGGATAATTTCAGTTGTTGCTAATCGTTTATGATGATGAAGATTATATGAAAATGATTGACTATTATTCGTTTTTTTCAATGATTCTTTACGAATATCAAGATCGATATTGACATTACTATTTGCTAAGCATTTATTCGATTGAAGTCCGTAGAGAGGAAAAAAATCGCATAAAATTACATAGGAAAAGAGTATAAGAAAAATGATATGAGAATACTAAAAAGAGAAAAATAAAAGAATTTATTTTCATGATTTGATATTATCTTCTCAGGAAAAGAAAAATATGTTCTCGAAAATGTCTTACCAAATTGTAAAGATATTTAACATATGGAGCATGTAGAAACATTAAAATATTCTTCAAATATTGATTCACACTAGTTTTTGTTCTAATAAAAGCAAAGATATGATTATTTTTTTTTTCCTATGAAAAATTTTTATCTCAGAATACTTTTCCCAATGACGAGCACCAATAACACGAATAGTTTCTTCTTCTTCTTCTTTATCTTGTATTAGTCTCATGCGTGCTTTATCTGCTGTTCTAAAATAAGAATTATATATAAAAATATGAAATAAAAATTCTCTACTTACTTATTCATTTGATGTTTTAATCGTAATGTATCATGATGAATAAAACTTGAACTGTGATGAGAATTCTACAAAGACAAATTAAAAAAAAAAATTCTAAATTAAATTATTCTGTTTCAACATACAAAACATTTTAAAGGAAATTGTTCAGTTCTTTCAACCATTTCTTTATGATAATGAAGAAATCCACTATACCAAAGCATAATAGTAGAAAAAATAATCAGTCGAGTGTCTTCTGTATGATCAATGTGACCATACCTATTCAAAGAAATCCAATAAATTTCATATAAATTTATTTTAAAATATCATACCAAATATCATTAAGTACATGTTGTACAGCTCGTTGTGCAATAAATTGTTTAGATTCAACCATAACAGCTAAATGTAACCAAGTTGCATTTCCAAATTCTGGTATTTGTCGAATAATTGCTTTTGTACATGCACATGGATCTGTTCGATAGAATTTTTCAAGTATTTGTACAGCTAAGATTTGAAATTCATCTGCCCATACATTATAACTTGGATCTTTATCTTTACGTGCTTTGATTTTGTAGAGTAATGTTGCTATAAGAGCAGCACCTGATATTATTGAAACAATTAAAAAAAAAAACGCAATGGTGGCGAAATTCTTGAATCAAATTTTTTTTTTTTTACTCACAAATTTTATTCTTTCCACGTGACCAGAATAATAAGGCAAGATCTTGTTTACCAGTTATTATTGACCAGAGAAAGAGTTCTTTATCGACATCCATATGATAAATATTTGATCTTTTCGAAGCTATAGAAATGATCAAATATGTATATATATATGTTGTGGCCGAAATTGGAATGCAGCCTGATTCGGAATTCGTCCAGCCGAAATTAGAATTATTTTTTAATGAATATTAAACGGTAAAAGATAAATAAAAAATATTCATAAATTTGTTTGTGACGGTGGGAGTGTGGAAAGAGCTAACGCGTCTTGTTCTACCAAATGTCACTCAAAGAAAGGTACCTGTTCTAACATCGAGTATCCCCTTCCCCTCCCCAAAACATAAGAAAGCATGGTCTTCCATTCCGAAAATTTATATTGTTCTTCCGAAGGTGGCCTTCTAATATGGACTCACGTTTTTGTCAAAAGATTCTTGGTAGACCAAGTATTTTAGAATAAACTTTCTAGCCTCCAAATAGACAAATTTTATACTCAAGTGCTGTAAAATTCGCTGAATCTGAGAGAAAATAGTGTTTTTAATAATGAAAACTTAGCTTTTTACTCAAAAACTACTCTTTTAACTGCTAAAACCTCAAAATGATCTTGTATTTATGAAAAACCTCGCGATCTTCTTTTATGTCGACCGAAACATTAGGATGAGGGTGGTCTTTTATTTTAGCGTGGCGTTCTAATTGGGGGGAGGAGTAAAATTAATTTCGAATTTGTGATATTTGTTAATTTGTTTTTATTAAATTTAAAAAATTGATTCTTAATTCTTTTTTCTTTTATGGGTTTCTAGCCATTAAACAATAATTCTAATTTCGTCTAGTCGAAATTAGAATTCTAATCTCGTCCATAATCAGTTCAGTCGAACTTAGAATTCCAATTTCGGCTGGACGAATTCTGAATCAGGCTGCATTCCAGCTTCGGCCACAACATATATATATATACGCTCAATCGATAAAAAGTGATTTTAATAGATCCCAGATTTTTTTCCTTCTCAATAAACTCACCAATCGATTGCATACTATCGTTAGGTCGAATAGATGATTTCCTGAGATAAGCTATTGTACAACATGAACATATTTCATCTTCTAATTCAATATCACTTGAAACCTCTTTTCGATTAAATACAGGATCAATTTCAAAAAAATCACCGGTAAGTGGTTTAATAATATTCGTATAGATTGATCGTAGAGGATTGTTTAAATCTTGTATTAAATTAAAATTCTACAAAAATAAATCGATTTGTATAGATATAAGAAGGGAAGTGAAAGAGAGAATACTTCATTTCTATAGAGTGTTACAAGTTTGTCATGATTGTCAAAGAGATCAACTAATGAAAAATCATGATCGAGAAAAAGTTGAACAAAATTTATTTGATTTCTAACAAGTGCCATTTCAAATAGATCGTTTAAATCGACTAACTACAGACCAAAAAAAAAACAAATAAAGTCTATGAATTAGAAAACATTTTTTATATTCATAATTTCACTAACTTTCCAATCTCGATCATCTTTCATAATAAAATTTTTAACAATATCAACTCGATTCCATTCAAGTGCTAAATAGAGTTGTTCACGTTTTTGTTCAATAGTAGTTTTTGAAGAATCATTGCCAGAAGTTGCTAAAAAATATTGTTTAGATTTGAACGAAAACAACAACAATTCTTTTTTTTACCGTTAAGTAACGCTTGCAAAATAGCTAAATCCATATCTGGTTCGATTAGATTATGTGAATTAAAATTGATAATATTTAAAAATATTTTTCGTTTTTCAATACATTCATAGATCAATTCAAAATAATCTATTTCAATATTATCATTCGATATTATTTGATTAATTTCATGGTTATGTATTTTAAGTCTTTCACGAAGTCTATTTTTGATTTGTTCTTTTTGTTCTGGTGAAAATTCTGGGTCAATACTAGAAGATAAGAAATGATACTAAATAGAATACTTATTCAGAAGGGATAATCTGAAAGGATTCGGATGAATATGGAAGATATGTGAGAGAAAATACTATCTAATTCAATTTAACATACATTGTTCGATCGGATATGTCTGTTTTATAATAATATTCATTGTATAAATGGTAAGCTTTGGCAAATAAATCACAACATCCACCTGTACCTTCAAATAATACAACAGGAATATTATTTTGAATGATAGTTTCATGAACTAGAATATTAGAAAAAAAAACACTAGAGAAGTATAGTGGATGAAAACTATTTTATTGAACCTATTTTAATTGTTTCTAGACCACCTTCAATAACAAGAAGAACAACAGGTATGGAATCTAAATAGAAAAGACAAAAGATGATTTATTATTGTTGTATTACTTAGAAATAGTTCTATTTTTACCATTTACATTCCAATCTTGTGAACTATGTTGACGACGAATTGTAGTATTTTCTAAGGAAAATGATTCGCCTGCGATGGCTTTTTCGAATCGTGTACGAAATTCAATTTCACTACCAAATTTATTTCGTGTTTCATCATCAATAAAAATAAATTTTGTATGATTTGATTCTAAAGATGCTTCATCTTTTTGAATATTTCTTGGCTTAGTATAATTTACATTAGTACCATGAATATCAAGTTGATCAACACCCGATATATAACCCCAAGTAGCAATACCCTTTTCGATTTCAATATTGAATATAATTAGATCAAATACTTTTTGTTTTCATACTTACAATTAAATGAATTGGTCGAGATGAATCGGGATTTGTTCGAATAATTTCACCGATCAATTTCGTCATACTTGTATTGATACCATCAGTAATAATCCAAACATCTCAAGAAACAAAAAGAATAAATTAATTATTTCAAATAAAAAAATTAATATTAAAAATACCAGTAGTTCGAACTACTTTAAGAAGACCTTTTCGAAAGATTTGAAATAATTTCGATTTCATATTGTATTCTTTGGCACTACCTGTTATCGAAATAACCAATGATGGACGCTAAGTT